CTCTCTCTCTCTCTCTCTCACTGCCCATAGACAAAATTGCACGCTTCTGACAAGAGCGCTGGAACGTTTGTTCATGGCACAGAATTCTACACTTCTGCTATCACTGTGTAGAATTCTGTGGTTCACGGTGAACGCTACACTGGTTGGCCTAGGCTATCACAGTAAACGCACACCAGGGGTGAGAATAGACTAGGTGGCCTTTCAAAAATGGTTACACTGATAAAAATCCTCCTTTACGGTGAAGGGGCGACTGTTTCCGTCGTTTAATGTGGCTTTAGAATGAGAGCGAGAAGTCATTTAATTTAGAAAACAACCCAAAACTCCACACTGAGTCACTGAGCGAACCTGAACAGCTGATTTTAGACCGATGAACAGCAGTCGACCCGCATGCACAAGGGGTGCTATTCCTATTCTATTGGAGAAATGAACGAGAGCTTCAAAACAAAGACTGCAGCGCCATCTGAAGCAATGCGCGGACTTCCGTGGACACTTTTTTTTGGCTGAAGGAACGATATTCTTGAAGTGTACGTTTTATACAGCCAAAGATAGTTCAACATAACAAGATGGTTCACTCAGCCAAAAAAGTGCCCGCGGAAGTCCGCTCTTTGCTTCAGATGGCGCAGCAGTCATTGTTTTGAAGCTCTCTTTCGTTTCTCCAGGAGAAGAATAGAAATAGCACCTCCTTGCGTGCGCAGATCGACTGCTGCTCACCAGCTGTTCGGATTCGTTCAGTGCGGAGTTTTAGGTTTTAAAAAAAATGTTAATGACCTCTCGCCTCTCATTCTAAAGTCAAATTAAACGAAGAAGACAGTCGCCTCTTCCTCCGGAAGAGGTTTTTTGTCAGCGTAACCATTTAAGCAAAGCATTTTTCCGAAATTTGAATTCTAATTTACTCAAAAACTTGTTAGTTTCACTTTGATTTGTTGTTGTTGACACAAGTAGGGTAACTCGGTTCGCAAAGGGTGCGCTTTTCCGAAGAGGGTGGCACCGAATTTTGAGGACTCTTTCTTAACTGGCTCAAAGAGAGGAGTGAACTATCTTGTTACGTATTATCATTATCATTGATATAGCCGACCTTGTCTAGTTGTAATCGATTACGCCAGAAGATGACGCACCAAGCTCTTCAACAGCGCAGCCCTTCCAAATACGAGCATGTGTTTTAAGTACAGGCGGAATTGTTTATATATTTATTTTTATAAGAGGTGCTTAATCTTCTCTAGTGGAATAAAGTAGTTTTGGAGGAGTGTACGTTCAAGCGTTCAAGTGTATTTCATTTAACGCCGGGATACGGTCAAACCAAGACTTTCAGATAGGCCTACATTCTTTTATCAACAGCAAAAAGAAACAGCTAGAAACCATGATGCATTACGTAAGTTTGAAGTATTTGTTTGAAATTTCTTAAAGCAACCATTGGGAAAATTACTTTGATTTTAGGCACCATGTTGTTCTGTGTAACTATTCAGTTTTCATTAAAAAGCATGATTTACTTTATAATCTTTACTGAAAAAAACCCTCCACTTTTTTATTAGATCTATATAAATGCAAACTTTTGAATCTTTTCGCTTGTTTTCTTTCACGTGAGTAGTGTCTTATACTAAGCACTCCAAAAAGTAGGCCAAGTCAGAAAAAAACATTTTGGTGCTTAATTTAGTGTTCGTAGCGCCAATGTCAAATAATAGAAATTTGGCATTTTTTTCCCTACTAAGTCGCGGGTTTCTTCTATATCTCAAAAGAAATATATATCAAGTTTATGTTTGTGTTTATCAAAAGCCGCTACAGGTATAACATTTGATCATTATCACCAAAGAAAGATGGTGAAAAATCTAGGTTTCACTCAACATCGGAGAAGTCGAGCAATCGGAATGCTCCCTGCGTTTCTTCTGTCGCCAGAACATTCAACGTCAACTAAAAAAAACAAACCCAACAACAACAAAAATTTCAACAATTAAAAAATTCCTGGCAACAACAGATACGCGTGGGGCATACGGAGGGTTCGATTTCTCTGTTAAAGCAATACTATTTCTAGGAGGACAATGTTTAAAATATGTTACAGCAGATTTTGGTAAATTATTAATACAAAAGTGACCTAATCTTTACAAAAATTAGAGAATGGAAAAAAAAATCCGCCACATGGTTGTGAGGAAAACCCTCCACTTTTTTTCTTTCTTTTGATGATGTGAATACCAATTTAAATGTTGTTTTTATAACATAATGAAGATGATGATGATGATGATGATGATGATGATGATGATGATGATGATGATGATGATGATGATGATGATGATGATGATGATGATGACTCGACTTACAGGGCACATGTGTGGCCTCTATTCTCAGGGAGGCCACAATTGGGTCACCCTGACATGGGACTTTTAATTCTTTAAGCAGGTTTAGTAATCCCCCCTTGTGACATACGTTTCGACAAGGAGAGAGGAAATACTTTTGTTTTCCTTTACTTTTGTTTACTGTTATACTTATAATTAATTTCTTAAAACACATTGTTACAATTTCAGGTAACCATGCCAACCAGACGACAGATAATGGACAAAATATTGTTCCTGTACTTTCTGATCCAAATTCCTTCGACTCTTTTCTTCGACACGCAAGGAGTATATCCAGAAAGCTGGTATCCTCAGATGGTAAGTTTTGTTGAAGAACAGCGATAGTGTCCAGATATGTTGTACATTGTCATATATGTGTCACCCCTTCCCCCCCCCC